CTGGCTCTTCCCTGTGGCCTCACGTTTGGGGACCCCCTCGTCCTGGCCCATTTGACATCTGGGCTTCTTTGTCTCGACTTCCCGCCTGTACCCTTGTTTTGCTTCAGCCATTCTGGACCAACTTTGGGGTCTCCCCAAAGTGCTTTCCTCCTTCTGGGGTTACCGTGTGCTCTCCTTTCAGGCCAAGCGGCTCCGGTTCCTTCTTCCACTGTTGGGTTCTAACCCGTCATTCAAGGCCCGGTGGAAACAGTGCCTGGCGTGTTCCAGCGCAGGGATGGGTTAGAGTGAAGCACAGGGCTATGGATCTGACCCCAGGGAGGCTCCACCCGGGGCTCTGCGAGGCTGGGCAGAGGTCGGAGCTCTGCCCTGCAAGGTCAGTGTTGGCTTTGGGTCCCTGCTCTGGGAGCTTCCGGGTGGGACGAGGGGTCACCACCTGGCCTTCAGGGAGCGTGCAGACTGACAGGCAGGTCCCTGGCATCGAGGGGCTTCCAGAGCAGGGGAGGATGGGTGCTAACACTTCCCTGTGGAGCTGCATCCCGGACAGGAGGAAAACCAGGCCTGGAGAAGTTGAGATCTTTCGCAGAAGAGACGCTCAGAAGCTCCCCGTTCTGTCTGCGCAGCACACCGGCTGAACAAAAGTGCCACAAGCCTCGGGTCAAATCCTTCTGCTGCCCCCACCCCGGCAAGGGTGGCAGCTCTGGGGGCCCTGTGTCCGGGCAGTGCCACTTCTGAGCGCTTTGATTGGGTGGAAGGAGGCCCCAGGAGGGTGCGCTGGCCAAGAGGAGGCTGGGAGTTTGAGTTCTTAACTTCTCCTCAGGGAGGCAGGACAGCGACAAGGGCATTTCCTTCAGAAACAATGGCTATTTATTTCTTTTTTTGAGACAGGGTCTCGCTGTGTAGTTCAGGCTGATAGTGGACTATGTAGCCCAGGCTGGCATTGAACTTCAAGCAATCCTCCTGCCTCAGCCTCCTGAGTGCCAGGATGACAGGTGTACAACACAAGAGCCCAGCAAGGATGGCTTTCCTTCTCCTCCTCTCCCTTCTTCTTTTTTTGTACCGGGGATTGAACTCAGAATCTAATGCTTGCAAGGCAAGCACAGCGCCACTGAGCTAAATCCCTGTCCTGAGGATGACTCGTCTTAGGATGACAGCTGTGAACACAACCAATGTCCACTCGAGTGACTCACCCTAAATGTCACACCAAGTGTTCATTTATATGCTTGAACACTTTCCCCTTTTAAAATCCTACTCCTTTCTTAAAATGTGGTTTTGAGCAAAAAGTTTTTATTGCATAATTTATGTGGGGCATCATTTACATATAGTAAAACTCACGCGCTCTAGGTTAAGTTCTAGGTTTTCTTTTTAAGCAAACACACAGTAGCTCCAAGTTTGATGGCCTTCCGCGCTCCACGAGAGAGTCCTGCCTCAGCCTCCCCCGAGGTCACTGAAATGGAATGAAACCTGTGGCACTGCTTTGGGGGTGATGGGGGGAGAGGGAGCCAAACCAAAGCAAGTTATGAATTTCCAGAACCTTCTCCAATGGGCCCCGAGGTTGTTCCAAAGCAGAAAGGGCAGAGTACAGAAGGTGGCCGTGTGGGACACACAGGCCAAGGAGGGACAAAGAAATTGGTGGCTTTGTTTGTGGGCAGGAGGAGGGGCTTGGGGCTGAGCACCAAGAACTCTGGTTTCTAAGTCGGTCTTGGTGTAGAGCAAATGTCCCAGCGCGTATGATTAGTTTCACTGCGGGTAAAAATATAACCCATAACGGTTCTTGTCTGAGGGAGCCAGGGGCGCCAGGGGCCACGAGGTCCTCCAGGCACCGGGCCGGGCAGCTTCTCGACGGCGTGTGCTCCCTCCCTCCTTTCTGTCCCTGCTTGACTCACGCAAGCCGGTTTTGGCTTTTGGCATTTTGTAGATTTCTACGGCTGAGAAATCAAAAAATAACCTTGAATGATGGTGGGTTTGGTGCTGAGGCCCACGGCAGGCCTAAATAGCAGAAGTGAAAAGGAAAAAAAAAAGCAATTTCGTTTCTAGTGTCTGAAACACAGAGGCTCCCTTGGCCTCCCCACCCCCAGGGGGTTGAGGAAGCCAGAGGTGGGAAGGAGGGAAGGTTGGGTATTTTTTCTTTGTTGTTTTTGTTTTTGTTCTGTGATGATGTGGGGGACTCTCCAGGGATATCACGGGGCACAGAGCGGGGCACGGGGGGTGGCGTGGGCAGGGCCCGGAGGGAAATTTCACCCTGGCCCTGACGTTAGAGGGCAGGAGGAGGGGAGGAGAGAGGGCTGGCAGGGAAACGGCCCAGCACGATTGTACCTTTCCTGCTTCTGCTCTCAAGCACGGTGGGCGGGTTCCTCAATTCATCTCAGTGAGTTTCTAGACAAAGGTTATCTTTGGGGACTGCGTGATTCCTGAAATGCTAGCACTGCGGAGGCGGGGCTTTGACGGTGTGTGCTTGTGGGTCCCAGAGACTCACGAAAGGAGAAATCAGGGGCCTGGCCAGCTTGGCTGTGGGCCTACACTGACGTCATGGGTTGTTATTATTTTTAACAAAGCCCGCCCTCTCCTCCCAGCCTAGTGTTTTTTTTTTTTTTTTTTTTTTTTTTGGTGCCGCGGATCAAACTCAGGACCTTGGTGCTTGTGAGGCAGGCGCGGTGCTACTGAGCTAAATCTCAAGCCCCTCTCCAGCCCCCAGCCTAGTGTTCTACTGGTCCGATCCGTGTCTTGATCACTTGTTGTTGGGACACAATACCCGGCATCCATAACTTACGGGCAGCCAGGTTTCTTCTGACTCACATTTCAGTCCACCGTCTGCTGGCTCTGAGGCAGGGTGCTACGGCAGAGGGGCCTGGGAGAGGAGAGATGCTCCCCTTGTGGAGGACAGGAAGCAGAGCGAGTCAGGAGAGGAGCCAGGGAGGGAGCAAACCCTTCCGGGTCACGGCCACAGGGACCTGACACCACCCCGACAGCCATCAGCTGTGCCCACAGTAATCCTGTCACCTTCCAAAAGCCCCACCTGTGACATACAAGGCATCTAGGTAGAAACAACACTATGTTTTCTTTGTAGGCTCAGCAAGAGGAAGTGAATCCCCCCAGGGCCCAGGACTGGAACTGACCTCCAGGAGGCCTCCATGAAGCTGGCGTTGGCCATCCTAGTTATCGGGAGGGAGGCAGGCTCAGCCTGGAGACCTGGGGATCCCAGGCCACTCTGACTTTTGCCCTGGGATAGCCAATTCATCAATAAACAGAGCAGGCTCGGTGTGTGCCTCGGGCTGCCAGCCATGAAGCTGACCCAGGCAGTCTCCCACGTCCATTACAGATGCCCTGGGGGTGGAAGGGCAGGAAGTCGGGCTGCAGTAAGAGGCTGCTGGGTAGAGCAAGGAGAAGCGTCCTGACTCTGGAGGGTCGGCATGGGTGGGGACCCCGGGGAGCCAGAAGTGACACCTCCTCTCTTGGAAGGTGTGGTGACTTCCAGTCCCTAAGGCGGCACCTGGCGCACAGTCAGCGCTCAGCACTGGGACCGCCGAGTCCCCCGTCCGTACTTTCTTCACAACACTTCCCCCCAACCTCGTTAAAGTTGACAAGTTCAGTCTCCGACCTCAGCATTAATAAGTAATAGCTGCTCTCAGGCTCCGGTGAGAGGAGTGAGAACAGATTCAATCTTTCTAGAGAGCGATTTAGTAAACATTCAGGGGAAGTCGTAGAATTGGGTAGGTCTTTTGAAGTACTTCTACGAGCTTCTTTTCCGCTAAGGGGTCAATGGCTGGCTTTTCTTAAAGCTATTACTAGTATTATATTCATAGCAATGTTTTTTTTTTTTTTCAAGTGGTAGCAAAAATAGAGATAACATTAAAATTGATTTAGGTCAATAAATTGTACATCTTAGCATACCACATAACCCCCATGACAACTGATGGTAGATGAGTATTCATAAAATAAAGTGACAAAAAGCCCCAAAACAATATAGAAAACAGTGTGATTCTGATTTTGGTGGGAAATGAGTTTCTCCCACAGGAAGATGTTTGGGAAGGTATACACCTAAAGGTTTTAACCCGTGACATGGGATGATGGAATTTTAGGGGATTCTTTTTCATTTTTCTGGATTTTCTTAATTTTCTACAATGAACATGCCATACATTTCGAACATGGGAACACACGTTTAAGTGTTTTGAGTCAATTCTCTAGGTAAACTTCTCGGTCTTTAAATTTTGAAAATGGGGTCAGGGTTGTAGCTCAATGGTGCCACTCCTGCCTGGTAAGTGCAAGGTCCTGAGTTCGATTCCCAGTACTGGGAAAAAAATTTTCGTTTTACGAAACTGTAGGAACCAGATCAATACGTAGGATGTGAGAGTCCAGAGCCTTCTGGGGGGAGGTTCTCAAACCTGGCTCACTTTCAAATAAGCTGTGGACCTGAGAGCTTTGTCACCTGAGTGACACCCCGGTCACCTGAGAGTTTTGGGATTCCGCTGCCTCATCCAAAGCCAACCAGTCAGTGTCCCCCGGGGTTGCCCTCAGTGTCTGAGGGCTCCAAAGTGACCTAGGAGGTGCAAACACAGACGAGTTTGGGGACCACTGCTTTTGAGCTGCACTGTCCAACACAATGGACACTACCCAGCTGTGGCCACTGAAAATTCCTTTAAGTTAAGGCTATATAAAAAATTCACCACTTTTGAAGCACTCAACTACGGTGCGTCGTCAGTGGCTCCCACGTTGGATGGAGTAGATGAAGACCTATCCAGACAGAGACCAGGAAGAGGGGCCGACACTGTCCTCCTGCAGCAGGCCTAAGGCTCATGAGGGAGGAGGCCCCTACCCTCGCCTGCTCCAGGGTTGCAGGACTGACCCGCGTGGGCATCCGTAGAACATCTGTGTGCCTAGAAAGTCCTTTCTGCTTTCTTTCATGTGTCCTGTCCTCCTCCTTGGGGGTGTTTTTCGTGGGTGTTTATTTTCGAAGGCTTGGCGGGCCCTCCCTGTGCTGCCCAGCCAGGCCCCGGCGAGCTGTTTATGTGGGATCCAAGGCTGGCAGAGGACAGCAGGCCCAGCCCGAGTGTTTTCCTCGCTGCCGCTGCCGAGAAGATGAGTGAGAGGAGCAGAATAACAAAAAGCCACTTCAAAACACCAGCCCAAGACAAAGCAGAGGAGAACAGAGGTTTCGGGCACACACTCACACGGGCACACACTCACACACACGCCCCCAGAACCCCGCCGCGCTGCTGCTGCTGCTGCTGCTGCTGCTTCGGGAGAACAAAAACAAGTCACGAGGGAGCCTCCAGCCGTCAGGTTGGTTTCGAGATTGTCGCGGTCGCTGCTTCGAGCTGGGGCCTGTCCCTGTAGTTCCGAGAGGAGCCGGGAGCCCAACCTGTGTGGGCTCAGAAACCTCACCTGCCTTCTGAGAACTGTGGGGCCTGGCCGGGGGACAGCCCCCAGGTGCTCCAGTCTCTGGGAAGATGGGGAGATAGGGGAAGGGCCAGGCTGTGGGGGCTGGGGGTAGGGGGCCCTTGCAGCCCAAAGACTGGACGGCTTCGGGAGTGGAGTCTGGCCTGGCCCCGGGTGGTTGGTGCCCGAGGCTCCCTGGACGTCACCCATCAGGGACTCCGAAGACAGCTAAGGCCGCCTGTGTCAACATCTTCTCCTTTGGGACCCGATCGAGAACAGAAAGCCTGATGTCCTCCATCACTACACCCTGTCTCCCATCCACCTGTCGGACGGTGAACTAGAGGGGACCTGGGCTCAGATTCTGAGCAGTCACAGGCTGGCCAGGTGGCCTTCGGCAGGTCACTCACCCCCTCAGACTTCGTGCCTCGACCGGTAAATGGCCGTGCTGGTCTACAATGGCTCTCGACCCCCACTTCATGGTGACAGCGCGGTGAGACGTCCCCGGGAACCGCCTGGGCATCGGGATTTGTAAAAGCCCTTCCCAGGGTTCAGCACTGCAGTGCAGCTTGAGAGCCCCCCCACCCCCCAGCACTTCCGGGAGGGTGAGAAGATTCAGTTTCCAACTTGGCAGGCCTGGCACAGGCTCTGTGATCCCAGCAGGCTGGCCGGTGATGCCCACGGCCTGCACCTTGAGCGGCTCCCTGGCTCTTTACTGTTGCTGTGGCTGGTCCCGGAAGCTGGATTCCAAGTTTTTGTCTGCAGGCATCTTCCTGCTTGCACGAGGCAAGACAGAGCCAGGCTGGGTGGGAGTTCAAGGCGGGCAGAGGCCGCTTTCACCGGGGATGGGAAGGGTCTCTGCAGCTGAGAACTGTTCACAAGCACCGCTCCAGAGTTTCCCACCCATGGCGCCATCGGCCCTCCCCACCCCTGGGCAAGGGCTACACTGAGGTCGTAGAGTGTGGATCCCGAAGTCTGGGTCCCTGGCCCCACGGCTGCCTGTCCCAGCCTAAGTGTCTGCTGCCCTGTCTGCTCTGCTTGCGCCATCTCTTTTCCCCAGGGGCAGGCGGTGGGTCCAACTTTTGGTTTGACCCCTCCTGGGAGGGAGCACGTCTCAGACAGCGCCACACAGGGCTGCTGCCTGGGGCTGCCCAGATGGCGCAGCTGCTAAACTTCCAGGGTTCCATGGGGCCCTTGGCTGAAATGGCTGTCAGCAGACAGCCGGCCCAGTGGCTGGTCCGAGCCGGCTCCACCCGTTGTCTCACTGCCTGATATCAAGGTGACTGGTGGGGGTGAGGGCGCCAGGAGAGAAAGAAGGCGGAAAGGGGCATCCGCTCCTCCGCTAAACCTCCAGTGCCTGGAGACAGGGTCCACCCTGGAGGGGCCCTTCCTGTGGGCACTGGCTCGGGACAAGGGCAGAAGTGGGAAAAGGCCCTGTAGGTCCCGCTGTGGACTCGGGGGGCCTCACACCTCCACTGTTGGGATTCAGCCGACGCTCCTCCTCGGGCTCCTGGGCCCCGGAGTCTCCCCTGAGAATACAGTCCCTCCTGAGGGCTGGGACCCAGCTGGGCCTTTGTCCCTGGGGTGGCACCGGATGACAGCTGACACTAGAACCTTCCCACCCTGGTCTTCAGTAAATAAGCCTCTTCCCTTTCCTTGGCAGGGTCAGAGTTTTTGATTGTGGGGCAGGGGGTGGGCTTGGCAGAGGGCCTGACAGTGGCCCCAGAAGGTGCCGGCAATGCCAACTCCCCAGCTCTATTTCTAGGCATGGAAGTTGAGGCCCCGAGACGGGCTGTGGTTCGCCTGGACTCACATAGAAAATGAGTGGCAGTGCTGAGACCAGGGCTGACCCCCAGTCCCCTCGGGACCTGAGATCTGTGGTGCTGTCATTGGCTCCTGTCTCCCTGGTCACTCTTGGTAGGAGCCCTAATGGGCTCCCAATGGGCAGAGCCCTCCTCGCCCCAGCCCAGGGCTGACATCCCTGGAGCTTGGAGGGGCGAGGGGAGTCGAACTCAGAGGTTGGATCTGACTTGGGACTTCGCCACGGGCAGCATGAAGAGAGGCACGGGGGTCCTACGCCGTTCACCCACTCAGCACAGTCCCAGAGGCTCAGCTCCCGTCGTACCTCTGCATGTCGGAGCAGGATCTGCCTGTCTGTCACTTGGCATCCACGGTTTACTTCTCTAGGCGGGGAGGGGCTGCATGGCCTCTTCGTCCTAAGAGTGGGCTGTGGATTTATAAACCTGGGCTTGCATCCCAGCCATGTGACCTCCGGAAACCTCTCTGAGGCTCAGTTTCCTTGTCTGTAAGATGGGCCTAGCAAGAATCCTACCCTCAGGGGCTCTCCTTTAGGAGTAAGAGGACACGGCATGCATGCAGAGGGGTTGGTGCCTTCTAGTTACTGTCACAACCCAACGTTTTGTTCCCACATTTCTGAGGCTGGTTACCTCACCTGTGAACTGCAGGAAATAATATACCCTTGGTGGGTTGCTATGGCAACCAAATAAGGAATGCTTATGAAAGCACTTTGTAAACCCTTCAGGTTGGGGTGTGAGGTGTGACTGCCCCCAAGATCACACAACTGGAAAAAGGTGGTGGCTGTCTTGGAACAACCACGCCCTCCCTCAGTGCACACACACACACACTCCTGCCGTGCGCTTACACACGCATTCCCACATAGATGCACCCCACGTATAATGGACACCCAGCGTGCACACACATACATGCACACGTGCACACACACACGCACCCAGACATATGTACACACAGACACGCACATGCAGGCACCACTAGCCCACATCAGGAAACCCCTGAGTGGCCTGACCCCTACTGGTGCTCCAGGGAAGTCATCGATCTTTATTTCTACAGCCTCCGGTGAGCCCTCTCTACCATCAGCGCTGGCAGAGACGAAGAGGAGGAAGCTGGAGCTGTGGACTTTGGCTCCTAGAAACCCCGTGGGGAAGAGGGTGGGCAGAAGTTACTCCGTAAGACGATGAATGACCCAAGAGTAAGTGAGGGAGGAGGCTAGAAGGAAGGGAAGTTTGGAGCGCGGGGAGGCTCTGGGGCTGGGCCATCAAGGAGCTCTCTTTGAGGGATGGGTAGTGTCTTAGTCTGCTTAAACAGCCATAACTGTGACTTAAATGTCAGAAATGTATTTCCTCCTGATTCTGGGGGCAGAAGTCCAGGCTTGAGGTGCAGGCAGCATGGGTTATTCCGAAGGCCTTTTTCCTTGGCTTGCTCATTGAGGTTGCCTCATGTGGTTGGTGTTGTCTGGGTCCCAATCCCCTCTTCTTAGGAAGACACCGGTCATAGTGCATTGGAGTCACCCAGAGGACCTCATTTTACCTTAATGAGTCTCACATTATGAGGGTTAGGACATCATATGAGTGAGAGGGTCACAATTCAGCCTACAACAGGTGGGAAGTCTTCGCATTTTCTCAGTGACAAAAACGTTTATTGTGACCCCCCAAAATCACAAAAATGGTAAATAAAAACTTCTTTGAGATGACCTTAAATGTCCAGCCTTTCAAAAAAAAAAAATGTAAGTATTCTGAGAGGCCTGAGGCAGGAGGGTTGCAAGTTGGAGCTTTGCTTGGGCAACTTGACAACTTAGTGAGACCCTGCCCCCAAATTTAAAAAAATAAATAAATAAAAAGGGAAGGAGATGTAGCGCAGTGTGAAGACCTGGGTCTAATCCCCAGCATGGGGGGCGGGGGAGATATCGCTTAAAAATGAATCCATACTTACAGCACCCGGAATGCTGTCAGCCACGATTTTCATGTCACAACGAGCCACGAACTTTCCTCCTGGTTATCAAATATTCTCCCACGGCATCGCTTGTAGCGGGTGCAGACCAGTCCATCTCAGGGGTGAGCTGAGTGCATTTAACTGTGCGCCAGTGGGCTTTTGATTCACTAAGATTGAGGGGGAAGAGCCAGCGAAGGGTGGGAGCCGGCAGCACAGTGGTTCTGGTTAGAACCCACTGAGGGTCCTCAGAGTCAGGCGGCCACGCTTAGAGGAACGTGTGTTTTATGGGAGTGTGGGAAGACAGACCATGCACGCGAGGGTGCTGCTACTTCTGAGAAATCCTGACAGGTTCCAAGAATGAGCTGTCCCATAATTCACGTATGACTAATTAGAGTCTCCCCTGAATCCTACGGTACACCCAAATCAGTGTTTACCTCCTCAGAGTGAGTCTGACGTTGACCAGCAGTCTGCTGTTGACGAGATGCTTTCTTTCTTTTTTTTTTTTTTTGGTACTGGGGATTGAACTTGGGTCCTTGTGCTTGCAAAGCAGGCAGTGGAACCACTGAGCTAAATCCTTAGCCCCAAGATGCTTTCTTTTTTTCAGCTTTAATTGAGTTTATTGGTACATTTTAGGGATGCAGTACAGTTACATTCATTGTTGGGATCTTGTACCTTTACATGACAGGTCTTGGTTCTCATTTTTTCCCCTTGTGCCTGCCCTCCCTTCACCCCCTCCTCCCCTCCTCATCTACAAACACTTTATTTCCATCTTTTCATTATCTCACATTTTTTTCTTTTCCCTTATTACCCTTCCCCTACCCATCTCACCTTCCCTACACCTTTAGCTCCTTTCTTCCCATTTCTAAATGTCAGTAATCTTATTGGATCTTATGTATTATTGCAGATTATTCACACCAGAGAAACTATTCGGTATTTACACATGTGTGACTTATTTATTTCACTTAGGAGTATGTCTTCAATATGTATCCATTTTCCTATGAATGAATCTATTTTCTCTTTTTTAATGGCTGAGTAATATTCCATTTTATAGAAAAACCACATCTTCTTTATCCAGTTTCCAACGGATGGGCAAATGGGCTGTTTCCAAGTTTTAGCTATTACAAACTGTGCCGCTATAAACACGGGTGCACATGCTTCTCTGTGATATGATTCTTTTAGTTCTCTTGGAAAGATACCCAGCAGAGGGATGGCTGGGTCCAATGGAACCTCCAGTCCCAGCTCTTTGAGGTATCTCCATACTGATTTCCACAGTGGTTGCACCAGTCTGCACTCCCACCAACAGTGGAGAAGGGTTCCTTTCTCCCCACAACCCCACCAACATTTGTTATTGGTTGATTTCTTGATAGCAGCCATTCTTTGTGGGGTGAGGTGGAATCTCAGCGCTGTTTTCCTCTGCATCAAGATGCCTTCTTATTAATGACTTTGGCGATTATCGCTTTCCGTCCCCCACTCCCCTCTCTCCTCCACCACCGTTCATCTCGGATGAGACATTTGTGGTGCACGTGATGTAGGGGGCATAAATGTAACTCTCAACCTGCTACACATCAGATAAGCTGAGCTTGTGCTCCTCGGCATTGAAGAATGAACTCTAAGAAGCGACAGAAGTTAAGGGTAGGAAAACTTGATCGATTGAGAGAGAGAGAGAGAGAGAGAGAGAGAGAGAGAGAGAGAAGAGGGAGAGGGAGAGGGAGAGGGAGGTGGGGATCTGAAAGTGGATTGTCAGTGAGCTCACTTCTCAAAGGAAGTTTTTCAGGGCGAAATCATGAGGTGGGTATAATGTGGGTCAAAACTATGATCAATCACCAAGATTACAGCATAGCTGCATAGGTAATTTCAATCTAGTGGCAAAGCAGGCCACACAGCAAGTGTACATGGAAAGAACAAGACCTTTTTCGGAGGAGATGGGCTCAGGAGGTCCTGGTCGCCACCTGGATGACTAACATCTCTCTAGACTTTATTGCTCCAGGTGATACTAATTGCAGTACATTTCTTATCCTTCGGGCAGGTGAGCAGGCCTGGCCCCCATCTTGTTGTGAGGCCTGGCCTTTAATGATGCACCTCCAGCCACAGCCACGATGCGCTGTTATCCTCTGCATGGACTCCCTTCAGGGTTCCCGATCTCACTGCCAGAATATTTCTAACTCAGCTGTTTATAATAGTGCTCCCTGAAGAGGGGCTCCTGACTACCCTGAAGGGGAAGGGGGAATTACTGCTGTGGCTCCTTCTGGCTGAAGGGACTGGCAGTCAGAGGGTAGACCCTTCAGAGGGTCTGTCTAGGGGCCCTCGACAGACACCGGGTGTTCTCGTCTTGGGTGGGTGTATGGCTTTGACTGTGGAGGACGCAAGGCAAAGAAATAGTGAACTATGCGTGGGCCAAATAATAAGATCAACAAGACAGTTACGAATAAAGCCGGCAAATGTTTCCACCAGGGAGGGCCGGTAATCGTCTCACAGAGGGGGTGAGGAGAAGGACCAGGGAACCGCAGAATCTGACATGGCCCTAACCTACCTCTTACTATTTTGAACAGCCATCCAGATGTTAGCAGAAGGATCAGGGATGTCCACACAATATTTTGCTTTTACATTTGCACAAGTGACCCCTTGCGCCGCTCTCAGAATGTCTAATACCATCTGATTTTGGAGGGTGACTTGCCTCATTCATTTTATCTTTTCATTCAGGAGAGAGAGACCAGTTGAGATACCCTTTAAGACCCACTGGACGTATCAGTCAAGGCCTCGCTGTGTTGCCTGGTTATCATCTAATCTTATGAGAAGGGACAAACACCTAAGCCAAGTCATCACGCCCGTGAAACACATTCCTAGACCATCGATGTCGTAGATGGGGTAAGTTGTCAGGCTAGTCTATATTATGGACACTTCTGTCCTGTAACCACACAAGTCCGAGCATGCGTGTCTCTCTCTTCTCTCTCTCTCTCTCTCTCTCTCTCTCTCTCTCTCTCGTCTAGAGAGACACAAATCGGTCCCACAGGATCAGTGAGTGCCACTGGGAGCTTCCCATCTACTTCTAGGGCAACAGAACAACTCTGCGGCAGACCAGTCTTCCGCCTGTAAAGCTGTGGTGTGTATACACTGCTCTGGTGTCATCCCAAGTGCTGGGAGAGTTAGACCAATGAGAATAGAATAGCGGTGATTTTGTTCTTGTTGCTCTCCACAGAAGGGAGCCTTTCTACTAAATTGCCCTACAGCTGGGGTTATCCACATATCATCTTTGAGATCTATTTGCCCCAGGGCAGCTCTTATTGCGCTTTTTATTTTACTTTTTGTTGTTTTTTTTTGTTTGTTTGTTTGTTTTTTTTGTTTTTTGAGACAGGGTCTCACTATGTAGTTGCGACTGACCTGGAACTCACTATGTAGCTCAGCCTGGTCTCATACTCACAGCGATCCTCCTGCCTCAGCCTCCCAAGTGCTGGGATGACAGGCATGCGCCACCATGCCCGGCCTTATTTTACTTTTACTTGCCCGTACTTTAGGATTTATTTCTGTCTCCACCAGGGGAAGGCAGCACACCTGGCCTGGGTGTGTGTGTTTAAGCGTGGTATGATATCTCTCCCCAGGAGGAGAACCAGACTTTGAGGCCGAATTACAAAGGAATGGGTGAAGAGAATGTTGGCCTAGTTACAGCCCAAGGCTTGTGAGAAATAGCGAGTCACCTCCTCTGCAGTGACTCTTCTCACTGATGTACAGGGGTCGGGAGGAGGGCCAGGGTTCGAGCGAAAGACTGAGAGTGTCCAGCAGTAGGCTCTGTAGCCAGGCTTGCCCCGGGCTTCTCCATGGCGATGACAGTCTGGCCAGAGGCAGAAGGCAGAGAGTGCCCCAGGCCCTTCAGTGTTGCTGGACCAGCTGGTAGGATGGGATTCAGGCTGGACTGTCCCAGGGACACCTGTCCTCCAAGTCTTAAGATTGGCTGCAGGCCTATTGCCTTCTAACTGGAAGTTGGAGTCCTCTGATTATTAATAAACATGTATATTTCCTAAATATAAACTAGATTTCATAAGAGACCCATTTTATAGCATTTTCTAAATTCACATTTTGGTTAGAATCAAAGTCTCCTGGGGATGCCTCTAGCTTCACTGTTTCCTAGCACTGCTGAGATAAGACAACAAGCCACAGCAGTCAAAACCAGCAAAACAGGTCAAGCAAGGAGTGCCACTAAATCCAGCAACTAGTGAGCCCCAAAGCAGCATAGGCACAACAGGAATAGAAGATCTTGTCTGCAAAAGCAAAATGTCCCATCAAAGGAACATCATAGTCTTCCCAAATTCTCAACTCAAATTTACCATCACGTTAACAAAAAACAGTTCAGGGCATACATAAGCGGTTGATAAACAAGGCTGACAATTTTCTGATTACCTAAATGAGTCACAATCAAGAATCTGTAGGCTGGGATTTGGCTCAGTGGTTCTGCCACCTGCCTCACAAGCACAAGGGCCCAAGTTCGATCCCCAGTACCAAAAAAAAAAGAATCCATGAAATATAAGCAAACTCTTACCTCTTTCCCATTATCTTGCTGGGCCTCCAGATGATATAAGGGAAATAAATATAGCTCTCAACCTACTAGATATCAACTGTGCCGAGTTCGTGTTCCCCAAAATAAAAAAAAAAAAAAATGAATTCTAAGGATCAACGGAGGTTAAGAACAGAAAATTTAAAAAAATTAATTAGCTAGCTTATTAATTGGGTTTTGAGACAAGATCTCGCTATGTAGTCCATGCTAGCCTTGAACTCACACAGCCCGGGCTGGCCTCAAACCTGGGGTGATCCTCCTGCCTCAGCTTTCCGAGTGCTGGAATTACAGGCAGGTGCCACCACATCCAGCAGGAAAACTTTATCAAGAGAGACAGAGATAGATTCTGAGAGATGGGAGGGAACCCCCAAAGCGGGTTGTCAATGGGCTCACTTCTCAAACGAAGTTTTACAGAGCAAAATCATGAGTTGGGTATAACGTGGGTCAAAACCGTGATCAACCAATGAGATTACAAGTATAGCCACGTAGGTACGTACTATCAGTGTAATGGGGAAGTAGGTCAGGTAGCGAGTGTACATGGAAAGAACAAGACCTTTTTAGGAAGAGACGAATCAGGAGGACCTAGTCACCTACATGGGTGACGGATGTCTGTCTAGACTTCATGGGATCAGGGAATACTAATTATATTATATTGCTTATCCCTTGGGCAGGCAAGCAGGCCTGGCCGTCTCATGTTTATCTTGAGGCCTGGCCTTTGATGAAGCACCTTCAGCCACAGTGATAAATGTGTTCTCATCCTTTGTCCTGACTCCCTCGAGGGCACAGTCCTGTCTGACTGCCTATGTTATTTCTGCCTAGCTTAGCTGTCTATAATAAACAGAAACCAAAAGATGTGTGCGTCACAGTAAAGACTTGGAAGGATCCAGGGGAGGAAGAAGTTCAAGTGGACTAGGAGGGCTTTGCAGGGAAGACAGGAGGCTCAGAACGTCCACTCCATGGGAAGAGGACGCTCAGCCCTATTCATTTCAATAGCGGACCTTTCCACGTTGTGTCTATAAAGCCAGCGACGCCTTAGGTTTCATCGCTCCCTTGTGCCAAGTAGGCAAGAAAGAGACAACGGCTCTTGTGATTTGAAAGAAAAAGCTCACGACACAGCTCAGGGTAGAGCCATGAGCAGCTGTGCGATTTCCCAGACAGTGCATCCTCCAGGGAGAAAACCAGGCAGAAATACAGGTATCCTGGGGATGGGGTTGGGGGGGTGGGGGTTCTTTTTAGAGGACTCCAAAGTCTCAGTAGTCTTACCAGGCTCTTTTGTGAAACAAATGCAAATAGGGCTAGATTTATTCTAACCAAGACCAGCTGGGAGCGAGATGAATATTCACACAAGTACGCACACAGACGCCCAGAAGAGAAAGATGTAGATTGGCCGAAATTTTCCAACCTAACATTTGATCGCTTCGCTTTCTTTCTGATGTCAAATGGCGCTTCTCCCTCCCCAGCTGCAGGTCCTGTGGGTGGGGAGGAAGGCAAGTTCATCAGTCAGGCATTCTAAGGAAAATAGCAGCCCTGCAGAGCTCAATTCACTGGCTGAAACGGAAGGGGGCTGAGGAGGAAGTTACTCATTAACTGGGAGACACAGTCGGTGGATCCAGTTTTTGTCTGGCAATAACACATCCTTTGAATTCCCGGTGATTGCAGAATCGTAAGGCTTTCTTCTGGCGGAGACCATTCTGACACCTCTCCCCACTTCCTGCTGCTGTGGGTGTGAAGAGGGATATGTAGATGACTGGTGTTTTCAAGAGCCATCAGCCCTTCCGCTTTAGGAAAATCTAATGCAGGAAGGATGCAGTTCACCTCCAGCCTTTGACAAATCCCCCCGTCTCTAAAACCCTAATGTGATCATTTGCTGTAGGAAAGGATTTATCAATTTGCAACAACGCACCGCGCAACCATTTCAAATAGACACTTTCCTGTGTGTGTTTTATGTCATGTTTTTTTCCAAATGAATGAGCTGAGATGACCACTGTGTACCTGGCTTCTGCTGGAAACCTCACCAGCCAGGTCTCCTGAGCGGCGAGTGAGTTTTCCGGAACGTTTCTTGCAGCCTAGTCTCCTGGTGACATTGTCACACCACCCGGGGAAGTGGACAGTGTGGTTTGAGAACCAGTGCCCACCCTCCAGACGCCCTCCCACCTGCAGGACACCCTCTCTAGATGCATGTGACACAGGGGTTTATGGACCCCGGGTATCCAGAGGAGCCGGGGAGAACCCGAGCAGGAAACCAGAGACCATAACACACCAGAGGCCTGTGGTGGGCGGAGCCCAGGGCCAGATGTCCCTGTGTCACCCAATTATCGAAGCTCACGCTGATTAAGTCACTGTAATTAAAACAGGAGGGCCAGTTCCACCCAATGGCAGGTGCCCCAGAGTGGGATTCGAGGACCCAGGGCAAAAGTGCCACCTCTCCCGAAGGTGTCACCGATCACCGAGATGGCTTCCACCTGCCATTCCCGCCAAAGAAGGCAGATTCTTTTGCAAGGAGAGCCATCCCTAGAGCCGTAAGGTTTAGAGCGGGGAGCCCTGGGGTGTCCCCAAGAAGTGTGTATGGGACACAAGAGCATGCCTCAGTTTCCACTGGACGTAACCCCCCGGGGCTGAGGGGTTTGCGTGCTGTTCTGATGTGTGCCCCTGGCACCTGGACTGGAGCCCGGCACCTCAGGGGGTCAGAAAATACGAGTGGACCCGTGATCGGAGGTGCTGACTTACCCTCGCCCTCCCCAGGACGACAAGGCGCTCGGTGAACGTCATGTGCCCTCCCCTCGGTTCGTCTTTCTGTGTGTGCGCCCGCCTTGCTCCCCCTGGGACTGGCATCCCTGCCAATGTGCAGACTCTTGAGGTCACTCTCTGTAAATCCAGGGTCTCTTCCCAGCACCTGGGGGCACCGGGGATGCTGACACGGTGGGGCCTTGAGTCCCGTCTCTGCTGCACTTTAATTTCTTGGCCCAGCTCCCCTGGGAGCTGTGCCAGGCAAGGCCACCACAGCCCCCCAAGACGAGACCATGTCTTCAGCAGGGCTCCCCCTCCTGGGCACCACCCACTCCCTGGACACCGGAGGCCCCCTTCCTGTAGCACCTTCTGTCCTGACGCCGATTCTCTCTGACCTTGCCCAGTGACCTTCGGAGCCGGGGTTTGGGATGCCTGCCAGGTGACGCTGTTAAAACGCAACTACAAGAACGTTGTTTTGGTCCTTTTACCCATCAGCTGCTGATCGGTAGGATTTTCCCCTTCCCAGGGTTAAGAGAGAGAAGAGGAAGTGAAAACAGAAGGGGAGAGTTTTCTTACAGCACCTCTTGCTTTGTAGACAACAACCAAAAAGCCCCTTGGGGTTGGAGGTCGCTGTGTACTTTTCTGCAGCCTGTTCCCATCCATGAGCTGCCCTCGGGCTGCCCCAGCTCCCCGAGGAGGGAAAGCAGGATCCTGAGAGTTCTGGTCCCCTTGTTCACATAGGGCTCCTCCCTGGGGCTGCAGGCCGGGGCTGCACTGACTGATCTGGGAGAAGGAAACTCAGGAGCTTTTCCCAGTCTGTGCAGACCGGGACGGGAGCCTGTCCTCTTCTCCGGGGAGCCCTTTGTGTTCCCCTCTGCTTGTCTCTCCCAAAGCCTGAGGCCCATCAGGGCAGCAGCAGCGGGTGTCCCCCAGAGCCCCGCGGCCTGCCCCTGGCTTTCCCGTTGTCCTAACAGACTCTGTTAGCCATCAGGATGTGCGCCGCCCATGGGAAAGGAGAGAATTCAGACGCAGCTGGGATGGCGGGAGCCCTGCTCCCCCAGAAACTGCAGGCTCGGGGTGCAGACACCTAACAAGGCTTCACGAAGGGGTGAAGGGAGCAGGCAGCGGCAGGCGGGGCCAGGGAATCCTCAGAGTTGCATGCTGGCCCTGTGGCCAAGTTCAGGGAAGTCTCCAGCCCCTCCAGCGTGGCCCCTGGAAGCAACAACGCATGCTGGGGCAGGACCAGGGACTGCGGGTCTGGAATGCGCACAGGCCCTTGAGTAAAGCCTCTCCTGCCTGCTGGGGGTCTGGGCTTGCTCAAGGGCAGGGCCGTATGGACTGCCCATGAGCCCTGGGATCACAGGGCCTGAGGCCTCTCTCTGAGATGCCCCGAGACAGGATCGCAGAGCTGTGAGCTCCCCAAGGCCGGCCTCCCATCTTCCCGGCTCATCTTGGTTCCTCTACTTCCACGGCCCGTGCCTCTGAGTCTGCCCGTCAGCCACCAGCAGGTCCTGGCTGGACTCAAGGAAGGCAGAGCATGGACCCGGGTGACGGCCTCTGTCTGTACTTCCTCGCCCGAGAAGAGGCTGGGGGAGATGGTTGGGCGGGAGTGGCCGTGGCAGATTCCCCAAGGAGACAGGGAGAGCCGGACGGCCCCACGGGATGGTGGGCCAGCAAGGGAGGGAGGTGCAGAAATCTGTGTAACCGCGGCCGTGCCGTGGCGGAGACCCGCGGAGGAGGCGGTTTCCAGGGTGGACAGGGAGCTGCTGCCCAGGGGAGCTCAGCTCTTCTGTCTTTCTAGGGGGAGGGGTGTGAAGGAGGACAAGCACCTGTGACCTCAGAACCTCATTGCACATGGGGACAGCTTGCGCCCAGCGAGGGTCTGGCGTCTCTTCAGGGTCTCTCCCAGCCGGTGAGTGTGCACTTTGCTCTCCTGGATGGAGGGGAGGCCTGGGACTGGACGGGACTGAATGGTTTCATCGGCATCCGGGAGCTTTGCAATGGGAAGGGCAGAAGGCATCTGTTCTTGCGCACGCACAGACAACCTGGAGAGCCATCAGGGCCGGTGCAGCTGTGCTTCCCGGGGGGCGTGGGGGCTGCGCCCCAGGCTGGCACTGGGCACCTTGGGTCCCAGAGCTGGGGGCCGGGCCGCTGCCAACCTGCCCTGGCAGCCTCTCCCGGTCCGGTCCTCAGCGGTCCGTGCCCCTGGGATGCTGGCCCAGCTCTGGCTCTGACGGCAGCCTGGGTCTGTTGTCCCCCAAGTGTCTCTTCTTGGGAGGACACCAGTCTCCTCCGCAGTCACCAGCCTGCCCGGAGGCGGCCTGGCTGGTCTGATGCTCCTAAGGAAGTGGATTCACTGCTGGCCTGGATTCACTGGCCTGGATTCACTGGATTCACTGCAGGCATCAGGAGAGGTGGAGTCATTGAGCCCTTGAGTTGAAAGGGGAATTCATTCCCAGGCAAACTTTTTTACTTCCTTCTCTTCCTGGGTAACTTCGGATGTGTTAATCCAGGACTGGTGTTCTTCTTTTTTTTCCTGTTGTAACAGGTCTAATGTATAGCAGTAGTTTTTTTTTTTTTTTTTTTTTTTTTTTTAGATTGAACTCAGGTCGTTGCGCTTGCAAGGCAGGCCACCGAACCGCTGAGCTAAATCCCCAGCCCTTATAGCAGTAGGTTTTAAAAAAATATATTTTAAAAGACACATCACTGTATATGTTCAGTTGTTTACAAACCTGTATTTTTTCCTTAGAATCCTGTCCACGTGAACCTCCCAACACCAGAGTTGTGAATCTTTATTGATTATAAAAATGATCTACTTACATGAAACCCAGTTTTGAGAAGAGAGGAAGAGATTACTCATGATCTTACCACACTCAGTCCAGTTTCTTTCTCCCTTCCTGGTTCTCATCTGATGCAGGTGGATGGAACATTTGTTTTTTGACAGAGCCCAGCCTGGGAGCTAGAGTTTGCATGGCCTGGGCTGCTGCATGATCTTTGTTACCATCCGCAGTGCTCAAAGTACTTGAGCGTATCATCACAGACCCAACTTCCTGTGGCTGGAGGCCTCACTTCTGTGCTCTGCCTCAAACCAAGCTATCTGCCCGTCTGCCTGGGCTGTCGGGCTCTGCGGGCAGCACAGAAAGTGGCCTGGCTTCGGAGGAGGCAGAGGTGAGTCCAGCCTTTCTTCAACCGGCTCTGGAGCTGAGCCCTGCCAAAGGTACCCACAAAAGAGAGCGGCCTCCATCTTTTAGCACGTTAAGGGCACGCTGGGGACCTGTTCGTGCAAAGCATTTCACAGGTGCACTTACCCACTGGATTGTACAGCTAGCTCCTCTGCCAGGCGGAAGGCAGGGCCCATGCCTTGCTGGATCTTGTGTTACTTGGGCTGAGGACGGTCCTCGGCATATTAAAGGTACTCAGTAGTTGTTTGTCGAGTGAATGAAAGTTGGAAGAAGGGTTCACGGCTCACAAGAAACTTGTGAACGGCCAGGCTCTTTCTGCAGCCCAGGCTGCAGATTTGGACACATTGTTGCCTCAGGGACTTAGCGGCCCGCCTCCATTTAGTAATGTGGCTGACTTGGACTTGTCCCCCTGTGCTTGGGACTCGCTGCAGTGGCTGTGGGGGTTGGACAGCTTCAGCCGTCGATGTCCCCCTTCAGTCCCAGCTAAACCGGTTGTGTTTGGTCCCTGCACCCAGTTCTCGCCGTGGACCTGTAGAGGGCGCTGCAGGAAAGCACGGGAAGCAGTACCCGGAGGACTGTTCCTTTCCTACGGATTCTGTTTCCTGTCGCGGTCCTTAATGCTCCCACGAGGGACACCTGCCAGGTGACCGTGTCAGACAGCGTGATGCTTGCAACTCTTCTTTCTGACCCCAAGAAAGCAAACTGCCAATAAACCGTGATGTGAGCTAAATCCCTGGCCCAGTGTGGGTTTGATTTTTTTTTGTAGGGGAGGACATTTCTTTCTTTTTTTTTACCCTTCTAGGTTCCTGGCTGCGTTTCTGTGAAAGGCAGAGGAGCAAGGAAAAAAGAAAAAGCATAGAAATGTATTTAACAGAAGATTTACATGACTTCCTAGAGAAGTGAAGACCCCAGGAAGACCTGACTGTTCTGCAGAAGTCTCAGGAAGAGTAGCAAGTTGTGGGAACTTAGGAGAGGACCACAGGGGTCCGAGCCGAGAGCAGGAAAGCGGGGATCCAGCCAGCTCTGCGGGCCTCACACGCCCCCTCTCGCAGGAGTGAGGGTGCTCTTTTCCCTGAGTGTAGCAGACACCTTTCAGATGAGGGTCTTACGATCCTGTTTCACAAGGAGGCCAGAGAGCCCTTCCTGTCCTGCCATTTCTCCGTTCACTCCTGCCTAAGAACGTCCATTTCCCAAGGCCCCGTATTTGGGGTCGCGTATCCTGAGCCCCACCAACACAGCCCACCTTGGGCCCTGGCCTGGTGGAAGTCCACAAGTCAGCACCGGCTGAGGGCACAGGTTTGCCGCGGCCCCGCACCGCCCCCTGAGTTGCCACCAGGTGTGTGCTGCCGCCTGGGGTCTCGGCTGGACTGTCACGGACCCAATTTTCGTTGTTAAACCACAGACTTTGGGCAGCAACGGCATCTCCTCAGGTGTGCGGTGGACACTGTCTCGCAAGGAGTGCTGGCTGGGGATCGCCTACCGTGCCCGTCTGCACCCATGTCTGGAAAAGGACGATTAGGGTCACCATGTTTCTTCCTGTTCTATGAAGAGAAGTCATTTGCTTCAGAGCCTTTCACCCTCTTAGAAAACCACTTTAAGAACCGCAGGGATGGGAGAAAAGTGTCCGTGCTTGGAGAGAGCTGCCCAGGAGAGGAGGCTCTGGCTTCCAGTTTGATATTTTTGAGTCATACCTCACAGTGGGGTGCCGTCACCCACAGAGCCCGAGCTGGCAGACCCGGGTGGGACTCTGTGTCCATCACAAGTTCATTGTGTAGTTTTGGACCAGTTATTGAACCTCTCCGAGCCTCCGTTTGACCATCCACGAAATGACGATATTCATGACATCCTCCTGAGGTTACAGGCAGGTGAGGGAGAGGCAGGTGCAAAGCCTTGGCCTGGATCCAGCACCTGCAGGGCTCCAGCCACGATGTGTGTTGAGGGGTCGAGTTACTTCCTGTTCTTGACTTCCAGTTCCCTCTTCTGTTAGCGCTCTGTCGTGTAGCTGGAATGCCTCCGCCGTGGACGGAGTCACGGCTTTCGCGGATTGCGTGAAATGTGATGGAAATGCCACGGGAATGATTACATTTTAAAAAATTTAATCATTAAATGAAAAGGTTGCCCCGAGTCCCCCTCGGCACCCGCCCCACGCGTCCCGCCATTCTTGCTACTTTCAGGAGCGGTTCTGGAAGCCCGCGTTCGTGAGCGTCGTTACGAGTCGCGATGAAGAACTACGGTGACTGCTGCTGCCCAGCGCCACTGCAGGGCGTCCTCGGGCTCATTTATAACCCGGATATGGCCCTGCGCAACTTCCGGCTCTGCTCCAAAGTTCTAATGACCATGAGAAGGAAAAAGCTTTGAATCAGCTCCGGGCGCGGTCAGCCACCACGGGGCAGCCGGAGACACGCCTGAAAGAGGCCTTCCAGACCTGCTGCGGAACGGGTCAGGAACAGCGGGTGCGATGAGGGTGTCCGAAGGGAGGGGGAGCGTTTTGAGGGGGATTCGTGGCAGCACAGTCTTTACTGCAATACTTTTTAAAAAATGTAGTCATCGCCGTATTTTAAAAGTCCCATCTCACGTTGAGGGACACTCAGTGAACGGGTTTAGATGTTCTGCAAGCGTTCACAGGTATCGAAGTTTGAGCTGTCTTGATCCTCCTCATTACGTACCACAAAGACTCGCGGGGCGGCCATGAGGCACCCGGAGACAGACAAAGCACCTTGCACGTTTTCTCGTTTTCTTCTCACATCCACTCCAGGAAACAGATACTGCAGTCATTTTTTCCCTGTTGTGCAGATGAGAAAACTAAAAACTGAACTTGAACCACAAACGGCCCTAAAACCTGTTCTCAACCTCAACCCCCTTCACTGTTCACGGGACTGAGTTCATCTTTCACAGGTTGGATCCTGCTAGTTTTGCTTCTGGAGGGTCCTGGGTGCTGGTTTCAAGCTGTTCGGATGTCTGCAAACACTGGTGAGGAAGAGAAGACCGGTGGTGCCACCATGTTTTCCTGAAAATAAGACCTCCCTGGAAAAGAAGCAGCCTTGAAAACTAGAGGTAAGAAATGCCAGCCCCAGGAAAAGTGGCTGCCCACAGGCTAAAGATGAAAGCTGGACCCGCATCTCTCACCATGCACTAAACTAAAATTGAAATGGATCAAAGATCTAAATATAAAGACAGAAAAACTAAATCTGCTGGAAGAGAGGTTAGGTAGAACTCTCGAAGACCTTGGCATAGGAAAAGACTTTGTCAACCAAACCCCCATTGTGCAGAAACTATCACAAAGAATCAACACCTGGGATCTCATCGTATTAAAAGGCTTCTGCCCAGCAAAAGAAACCACCAAGGAAGTGAAGAGGCAACCCACAGAATGGGAAAAACATTTACCACCTACTCCTCAGACAAAGGCTGATCTCTAGAATATATACAAAACAAAAACACCCCCCCCCCAGATTAGAAGATCCAATCCAAAAATGGGCATCTGAAATGCATAGACGTTTCTCAGATGCAGAAGTACAGACAGGAGATAAATATATGAAAAAATGCTCGGAATCACTGGTCATTTGAGAAATGCAAATTGAAACAACGCTGAGATTCCATCTCCCTCCAGAAAGAATGGCCGTCATCAAGAAATCAGCCAATAAAAAAAAATGCTGGTGAGGCTGTGGGGAAAAAGGAGCCCTTCTCCACTGCTGGTGGGGGTGCAGACTGGGGCAGCCACTGTGGAAATCAGTGTGGAGATTCCTCAAACAACTCCAACTAGAGGTTCTGTTTGATCCAACTCTTCCCCTTCTAGGTATCTTCCTGAAAGTTATAAGAACCATTCCAGAGTGATATATGTTTATAGCAGCACAATTTATCATAGCAAAATCTTGGAAACAGCCCATATGCCCATCAAAAAAATGAATGGATAGAAGACAGGTTGAAGGGAGGGGAGAGGAATGTGAAAAAAGAAGAATCGAGATGTGTTATACACAGGTACAAATTGCCTGTGACGAATGTGATCAATATCTGACAAATATGTATTAATAGAAAGAATAAAGTTAAAAAACCAAGATGCTAGCCCTGATCAGCCTATCTTTGCCTTTCTGCTACTACTATGCTGTGCTCGGTGGCTACTCGGGGAGGCAGACGGGATGTGCTAAGAGAAGCTGCCCCCAGGGGACGTGTCAGCACCCAGGACACAGGGCGTGTGTGCCGAGGACGTGGGAGACTTCTCTACAGCCACACGGGCTGAGGCGGGCGAGCTGCAGAGGAACCCCGGGTGCCATCCATCTGGTGTTGGGACGTCCTGAAATTTCTGACACTCAGCCGGGGCATCTTTAAGGTTTCCCATGGTGCACAGCTCGACAGGAAACCACAACAGGTGTAAGGCACAAACAGAACACGGCCCGGGCGGACATGAAGGCCCCTGCACAGCACGGTCCCGGGTGTCGTCTCGCACCCTCCCAGGCGTTTGTTTGCAGTCTGTGGATTTTCACGGTGGTGGTGCGGAGAACTCTGGAGGGAAGGGTGAGGTCCATCAGGCGGGCCTGTGCACACCCGTGTCTCCTGTTACAGGAACCCGGATCTCCAAGCGGGTTGTTTCATCCAGAGTCTTGTGGGTTATTGACTCCTAGGGACAAAACCCCTAGGACAAATGTTCAGTCTCATGTCACTTAGTTCTTCCTCAGGAGGAATGGTTTCTAGGAGTTGCTTAATCTATGCAGGCCCAAGATTATAACTATAGATTTCACTGGTAAAGTGATCCACTCTGATATTAACTGCAGGAATTAAAAAATGCATAAAAACATATGGCCATATACTAAATGTTCGACTGTTTTTATTATTCATTAGATGAGCAGGTTAGTGGAAATAACTTCCACTGATGTGTACACATTATAAGCTACTGTTGGCCCAGGGACAGTTTTTCCCCCCCTGAGACAGGGCCTCACTGTGTAGCCCAGGCTGGCCTTGAACTCACATTGACCTCCTGATCAGCCTCTCAAGTGCTGGGATGACAGACGTGCACCACCATACCTGGCTATACCCAGGGACAATTTCTAAGAAGATAAGATTCTTGCTTCTCCAGTAGGTAGGAGATACATCTTTTCATTAATGCGGTGTTTTGCAATGAGAATTAGCCAGAAGTACACAGGATCTATGAGATGGTTTGAGGTGGTAGGTGGATCTTTTACACAAGTTCTTTGAAATAGCATATGTGCATGGCTGCGATCCTAGTAATTAGGAGGCTCAGGCAGGAGGATCACCATGAGTTCAAGGCCAGCCTGGGCTACATAAGAGACTCTGTCTCAAAAAACAGAACAAAACAAAAAACCAACAACAATAAAAAAGCATGTATTTAAGCATAAGCATAATGCCTAAAATATTTGTGCTCAGAATTTTCTTTATGACAGAGACAAGAATAGTTCATTTACGCTGATGTAAAGTTTCTCTGTAAAATAACGAAGCAGAAGACACTAATAATTCAAAGAAAGCTGCACAGTAATAATAGCACCAGTGATACCCAGAAACGGCAGAAATTGTGATGGTGGCAGACAGATGGCCCCACTGGGAGAAGTACTGAGTTAGTGAAACCGAACCTGCTTGCTCCTCATTTTGCTCTGTATGAAAATATCCATCAACATTCATTTCACAGGGCTGGCGTCTACAGTGTGGTCCTAAAATCTCTGCTTTGCAGAGAACCTGCGATCACAGTCGGGCAACCCCCCGAGTTTGGCTGGTTTCCGAGGTCTAGAGATGCGGTCCTTTGATTAGCACAGGAGGTGGGGGTGGAGCTCCGCTCTGACCCATATTACAGAAAACAGTGCTTTCTAGTGGTCTAGACATCAGGTGTCAGAAGGCAGTTACTCTCCCTGGCCTCAGCTCACCAAGAGGAGACCAGGAGGAGAGACTGAAGGACCAAGAGCACGGAAATGGGTCTCCAGGGCCACGTATTTTGAAATATTTGAAGATCTGTTGCTCAGAAGAGGATTGCATTTATTCTATAGGGCTTCAGGGCACGAAAAAGGCTACGATGACAGGTGGTCACCCTGTAGGTCAACAAAAGGATATACTTTAGGTTAACTAAGGAAGGAATAAGCTAGAGGTATTTATTTCAGCAGACCATGATGCCCAGGGGGGACCAAGGGGTGGCTGGGTGCAGGAGGTGATGACCCAGGGTCCTTTGTGCCCCTAAAAGTCCGGAGTCTGGGGCAGCCTTCCTGCCTTTGAAGCAGCTCTTCAAATATTATCTGTGGGTTACTGTCTCAGTTTTATGTCTTTGCTACCGTTTGGAATTTCCCCTCCTCACACGAACACATTCTATCCCTAAATACACGCGAAGAGACATTCTGATGCTAAATGAGACAATGGTAACATAAGACAGCTGGCCGAACTCCATGTCGACCACAGAATATTTTAAACATCAGGCCATTGGATACTTGATGGTTTGGAGTTTGCCTTTTAATCAGGTGTTCTTTCTATGCAGTTAAAGTACTGGAGAAGTGTAGCTCAGTCCCACTTGCCAACACTTCACATTCATATAGGCATAAAATGTAGAATTCTTAGTCTGAGCCTCATGAAATGGTCACTTTTGGGGATACAAATCTATTTCATAGGATTCATTTCATATGGTTCAAGCTATGCAGTAGCAAGACACTTGTCAAGTCTTAGGACTGCAAATAGACTTGGTGTTTTCTTCTGAGCTCAGTGTTTTCCCGACCATACTGATGAAAGAAATGTTATCCCAGCCGGCTAAATTATCATTCAGCATGGTTTCTTTTTTTTTTTTTTTGGTACTGGGGATCGAACTCGGGACCTTGGGCTTTCGAGGCAGGCAGCGGAACTACTGAGCTAAAGCCCCGGCCCCTCAGCATGGTTTCTTCTGAAAGAGCGCCTCACAGCGCACTTCTCCTTTGCAAAGAGGAGAAGCCTTTTAATGTGCCAGGCATGGAGAAGTCAACCGTTGTTGTCCAGAAAGCTTTGCCCAGGGGAGAATTACAAGATAAAACAGCATGCCGGAGCTGAGACCAGGCAGGGAGAATGCGTGTGTGGTAGTGCTTGACTGGGGGCGGGGGTTATTTCTGAAATGAGGATTTTAAATGTATAATTCCAGCTTCCTTCCCTGTTCACATGAAAAACCGAAGTTTCCATTTAACTGCAGGCTGCTGGGCTTTCACACTGTCAGCTCCCACTGTGTAACACGCAGAACTAGTGTCTAAATGTAGGGTCAAGATGGGTCAAAAGTCATCTTCAGGAGACACCGCGATGATCTCAGAATCCCTTTCGAGTTGTTCTGACCTATGCTCTTTTCCGTATGCCATTCACATCCCTCCCGCGTTAAAACGAGATCGCTCCTGTTTACTTCTGTCTCCCACCCCCGACACTTAAATAATGGGGCCACATTCTGAGAAATAGACTGGCATTGCGTGACTGTCAGAGTGGACCCACTCACACCTGTGTGGCCCTGCGCACAGCACGCCTCGACTGTGTGGCCTGAGTGGCGGGTGGCGAACCTTTCAGAGCTGTCAATGATAACAAACAGCCAACTGTGGCACGCGTGCCACAGGTTCGCCACCCCTGCTCCCCCCAGGATGCAACACTGCGCAGCATGTGACCACACTCCACCTTGTGGGCGACAGGAACGCGGTGCTAGGAGTTTGTGTCTGCACTCAGAAAAGGCGCAGTAAAAATCCTTGGTGATGGGAATTTGAAATCTCCATTATAATCTTATGGGGCTGTTGGGTAAGTGGTCCTGCAATGCCCCAAACACCACTATGCCACATGAGACTGCAAGAGTCAATGAAAAATGGATGCAGGGGAAAGCTGACTGATGGGGAAAGTTAAGGAATTTGAATTTCTGGAAGAAAACTGCAGGATTTTAAAAGAATTCCCGTCTGACTTGTTAAAAACGAATAAAGTGTAAGCCATCAAACGCTATGCATTCACACTCAGACGCACTAAAAATCATAGAAGCTGAATCTTAGAGTTGAACACAAGCTCAGAGTTTAGGCTACTTGCCCAATGCCTGTGGGGATGTGGAAAAAAAAAAAATTAAGAGTCCTACCATATCCTCATTCTCAAAACTAAGAAACATCCAGGTCCGCATGCATCTCAACAAAGGAGAATCTGAATGCATTTTCCCGAGGTTGGGTGCTGTCAGCTCCCCTGACCTACGTCCTCAGTAGTCCTGCGTGTCCTGCATGCCTGGTCTACACTCGCGTCCCGGCGCGGCGTCCAGCTCAGCCGAGGGAGCGCGTCCATCCCGAGGCTTTGGCGCCCTGGCTTTTGGCGGCTGCTCCTGTCCGCGGACAGCTCTGCCTCTCTGACCGCCAGAGAACACAAGGAAGAGGCTGGGCAGAGGCAGCGGGGGCTCCCGACCGGACTCCTACACACAGCCCTGACCCATGGTCCTCAGACTACAGCGAACCAGAGTGGCTCCCTGTTATTTAGCAAAGCAGAGGTCAAAGGGCGTTTCCGCCCAACCCCAGGTCCTGCTTCTTTCTCTCTTGGGCCTGGTCACGCAGTCACCGTCACTAACGGCACCATGTGCCCAAGGGCTTGCAGGATTTCATCACTTCTTAGTACTGAGATCATGCGAACATCACATTCATGTTAACGTGCAGATCTTCCCTTCACAGCCGACGCCTGTAACATGACTGTTGTAAGAAAAACCTTCTGCCGGCCTTCTGTACAGATGACTCTACTGCTGCGGTGTCACACAGAAATAGCAGGGCAGGGCGAGGGGTGAGCATGCAAATTCCCGATGCTCGCCAGCGGCAGAACCACGACCTCGCTGGCTAAGAGGCAAAACCGCATGCTCATCTCGCTTATAAATACGCAGTGCATTAAAAACGCTGAGACCGCTTTTTTCACTTTTTTATTACATTTGGACCTTTAAGAAACATAGACCATCAGATATACCACTATTCAGTAAAAATCTATCCTAGTTTTTTGGAAGCGTACATGTCACAAACTATCTTGTTTCTAGTTCCCAAGACTTTACTAAGAGTTTATCAAAAAGGTTGGCTCTGATCGTGGGATCCTGAGCCTTGAGGTTTCAAATGTTTTGATTATAAACAATTTCAAGCAGACCAACTTAATTCCCAGCTGTTTTGCCTCTGGAATGAGCTAATCAAGTTACCTAGTCTGTTGCAAGAATGTTCCATTCCTTAAAAGAATACTTGTCCTCTAGTCTGTCTTTGGAAAACCTGGTTAAAAAAAAAAAAAATTTCCCCCCTGCACACTAAGGACGAGTTGGGGCTGGGGATTCAGCTCAGAGGCACAACAGCTGCCTGGCAAGCAGAAGGTCCTGAGTGTGATCCCTGGCAACCCCCCTGCCAAAAAAAAGACGAATTTACCAGAACATACTCAGTATTAATTAGAACACAAAGCAGCAGACGCTGTGTGAGCTGAGCTCACTGCACAACCATCCCTCAGCCAGCGACCCGACTCTGGGTACCTGCCAGGGACTAGAAACCCAAGGGGCAAGAACACGCTGCCTCCACAGGACCTGCCCTTGGGCCCACGGGGACAGGCAGGTTTAAAGCTATGGCTTTGGTAAGCACCGAGCGAGCCGAGGCATGGCAAGTGGGTTCCGCAGCATCGAAGGTAACTCCGGAGAGGCAGGCGTCTCTCAACTGATTCCGAGGCCTTCAGCAGTCGAGGGCCAGCGACAAGAGCCAAGGAAAAGAGCCAGGTTCACAGCCTAAGGTGGCCATGCCCTAGGGCTCTGACGCTCATGGTCCAAAAGCCTTTGGTGGTGTGATATGGACAAAAAAAAAATTAATACACAGACCACGTAACACCATTAAAACCGAAAAACATTTTTTTTTTCATTAAAAAAGTATTTAGGACACATAAAACAAGGCAACATTTATTCCTTTTTCTCATCTTCCGGGATGGGGTCTGTGGGTGGCTCCTCCACGGTGGCGCTGTTGCTCTCCGAGCTGGTGTTGCTGTCGCTGGTCCCCTCCTCTGCCATGCTGTCCACGCCCTCCTGGCCGCTCTCCTTGTCCTCGGGCGTGGACGTGCCCTCCTCGCCGTTCTGCTGGCCCTCCGCTGTCTCCTCGAGGCGTGTCTCCTCTGTAACGACACATCTGTCAGCGTCAGTTCCGGGGACGGACTGCCCCACGCTGACGGTGCCGGGCCGCGCCGTCCATGGCAGCCACCAGCAGCCACGCGTGATCGAGAAGCCCTGCAGTGGCCAGGGACACGAGGAAGCCTCACATGCAGCTGGGACGACCGGGCTAACGGGGCCGGCGCGCCGTCCATGGCAGCCACCAGCAGCCACGCGTGATCGAGAAGCCCTGCAGTGGCCAGGGACACGAGGAAGCCTCACATGCAGCTGGGACGACCGGGCTGCGCGAGGCTGCTCCGCCCACTAAGCACTCTCCGGGGATGTGCTGAAAAGGGCACCAGACACGATGGGTTTCAGGGACTTACTATGAAAATGAAAAAATGTTCATTCAAAAATGCTCATTAACACGGTGACTCTTTAGGGTATACTGTGCTAAATAAGATGTCATGAACATTAATTTCGCTTCACTCGCCTAACTTCAAAACGTCACTAGCAGAGAAGCTCCACTTACGTATATGACTTATGTTTTATCTCCACTGGAGATTCCTCTCCAGCAGAGCTTTGAATTAGCTGGGAAAGCAAATGCGGAGACCCTAAAGGCTGGGGTCTGGGATGCTCCGCTGAAAGCCCCGGTGGGCTGTTCCCTATAAGGGTTAAGGTCGAACATCCGGCTTCTGCCCGAGCCTGACTTTTCTTCATTCTCCCTTGCGCCGTAAGCACGGAGCTGAGGACCCACGGGCCTTCAGGACACGCGCGGCCCGCACAGACGCAGCACAGAGCCGAGACCCGCGCGCTGTCTGCTTGCAAACGAGCCAAGAGCCCTGTCTGGACTCTCAAATTCTTGCTTCAACTACAAATGTGCTCACACTCCAACCGAAAGGCAAGAGCACGTGCCTAAAAAGGGGCTCAGGTGATGAAACTTAAAACCCGACTGTCTGCAATGGGAATCTGCTGAATTAAGTTCCGTGGAAATGGCTCTGTTCCACGTGGTGCTCTGTGGACGACAGTCCCTTGGGCACCAAGTGTGACGGCGCCTGCCCGTGAGGCCGGGAGCCTCGGTCTGCGTCCCCACAACTTCGCCCCCGGCCCCCGCAGTCGAACGTGCCGGGAGGTGAGGTGCGCGCCCCACGCAGGGAGGCTCTGCTCGGCAGTCCAGTCGGTGCACCTAAGTGTGCTGTTCTGGGTAAGGCTGCCGGTCTCCACGGCCTGCAGGCAGCCAAGTCTGCCCCTCCAACAAACAGGCGCGGCTGGGCTTCCGCACAGGGACGCAGGTGGTGGCGGGTTTGGCCGGGGTCTGCCTTGCCGGATGCTATCCCGGGACGGCAAACAGGAGCCACGCCAGGTCTGACGGAAACATTAGTAGCACTGAAGGTGCAAACACCGCGTCAGACCCAGCACGGAACTCGCTCCCGGGTCGGTAGCCGCCTGCTTCCCAGGGGAAACGAGGCTCAACGGATCCCCTGGGTCCAGGGGCCCGGACAGCGACGACTCCTGGGAAGTGCGTCACCGGGCCCGCTGGGAAACACCAGAGGCTGCGCCTGTCGCTCAGCAGAGGCTCTGGTTTCAGCCCCAGCCGGCTAGAAGCAGAGGGGAGCGGCTACCTGTGTCCATCGGGGCGCTCTCCTCGTCCTTCTTCTCCTCGGTCTTGCCGGGCGCTGGCTCCTCCTCGGGGGCCAGGCTGCCCTGACTGCGCTCCGCCTGCTCGGCCACCTCCTTCTCCCGCTCCTCCTGCCTCTTGCGGGCCTGCTCCTCGGCCTGGGCGATTTCCGCTGCGATCTTCTCCATGTCCACTTCCACCTTCAGACCGCACAGCTGGCGGGAACACAAACGAGAGGCTGCTGTGAGCAGCGGCCTCCCTCCGAACTCAAGTGGGTTTCCTGCCTATGGAGTATGCATGTGAACGGGGACAGGGCTCTAGGTCTCCCCGGAGACCCTCCGTCTCCAGCATGCGGAAGCTGTTCTGGCAGCGGAATCTAACAGCCAACAGCCTGGGCGGTGGGGAGGCGACGCTGCAGCAGGCGTTAAACACGAGGTTTTCGGGAATCGAATGTTCGGGGTAACACAAAGTGGAGCTGCAGCGAAGGTCTGATGAGTAAACTCCAGTGAGGTAAAAACAGTGACTGCGCAGTCTAAAACCTTGGAGAGCTCTAGCATCTACAGGCCTAAGACGTGTATTTATGATCTTTAAATGTACTGTAATCTCTCCAAAATATGGGAATACTTTTTTATAAGGCAGAAATGTTGCAGGTTAGACAGTGAAGTCAGCCCCGTCTCAGAGTGAGCAAGACTCAATCAAAATACCATTCTGGAGAAAAGAACAAGGGAACTAGAAGTAGCAGGCGCACACACGAAGGAACAGTGAACACAGCAGCCAGATACCCTTTTAAGTTCATTGTTGAACGAATCTGTGCTTTCCAGGAATTTCCGCTTCTTTTCCTGGTGCCGTTCCTCTATTTGAAGAAGTTCAGCTTCTAGTTTTCTCTGTAAAACACATGAGCAGCTTTTACAATCACTTATTTTCTCTGTAGCAAAGGTCAAACCCGGAAGATACGCCTCAGTCTTTAATGGTCCACGCAGTCAAGCAGCGTGACAATGTTTTGTATTTTTAAATGAGGTCATTTGCTGTATGAGTCCAGCTACCACTTAGAAAATATAAAATGCGACACAGAGGGATGCACACAATTAATAAAGTAAGTGTTAAAGAACACTGTGCCAGGCCCGAGCGGTCTCTGTGGGAAAGTGTTTAGCAGAGCAGTGGAGGTGGACAGGCTGCCTCCGTGTGGCTGTTTCTGACTGAGCGCACCTCCACTGCTCGGCTCCGAGGCAGGCACGAACGAGCTGAGCCACGGGGCCCAACTGTCCACTGCCTCACGCGGCCTCCCCAACAGGACAGGCCGGGCTGCTGCTTCGTGGGCGCATCTCCCAACGGCTGTCTGATGACCTTACCTGGTGAACCATGAGGGACTGGACCTGGCGCTTGAGGACCTGCATTCTAGCTGTGGTGACCACTGACCGGACGTCCGGCACCACGCTCTCGCTGAGGATCTCGCTGATGAGGCGGTGGTTCCTCTGGAAACGGGCGGTGGCTGTGTGCTTCATGGAGAAGCCATCGTCGTAATCTGGAATGAACAAAACATTCTGGAAACGAGGTCGCCAGTAACCGCGAGCGGGAGAGTGTGAGGACGCGACACTGAATCACCAAGGGACGGTGACTGGCAAGGACTTGGTAAAACCAGCCGAGGACGGAGGGTGCACCGGCCTTTGGCTTTGGAATCCACGGGGAGGGGACTGTGACCGAAATTCTGCGGATACTGCGCGCTAGGCAGTGACGTAGGGTCGTGACAGCCGATGGGCCGCGCCAGCCTGGAGACAGCAAACGCGGCCCTCTGCAGATCAGCCTCTCACTGCAGAGGAAACACCGTCTCCAGCAAGATCCTGCTTCCAGGCAGCGTGGCACCTCGCCAGATTAACACACGGTGGAGGCCGGAAGGGATTCCATCCGAAGGGAAATTCGATCCCCAATTTACTTTCGCTGTCACTTCACACACATACACAGTGTCACCAGTGCGCACGAGGGCCTGGCTCACGCTCGCTGTTTGTAACAGTGCGAGTGTCTTCCCACCTCTCTGCTCTACGGCCACCCTGGTCTGTACATACACTTCACACACTCGGGGACAACCTGCGCTTTCCTTAGCTACACTCCTGTGAACAGAACTCTCTGAACCACCCGCTCAGCTCGGAGTCCTGACAGAGCCAGGCCCGGGGCTACGTGTCCACAGGGTCACCCACACAGCATTCCCATCTCGCTGGGGTGCAGAGGTGCAGGTTTCAGGGACCTCGTGACCCTGGGCAGCACAGCCAGGTCTTGGTTTCCTCCGAGGGAGGAAGTTCAGGATCTAAAATCACTCCGACGCTGGCATCTCTGTGCCCTCTCTTACCAGCTGACTCAAGACAGCTCTTAAAAATACAACAGGCAGAGGTTTGAGACTGTTTCTGAGTAAATCTTTTCGATTTCATACTGTTTTCTTGGTGGCACTAAGGACTGAACCCAGGACCTTTACACTGAGCTACACCCCAGTCCCTTTTTCAATTTTTGAGATAAGGTCTTGCTTAGATACTAAGTTGCCCAGGGCAGCCATGAACTTGGGGGTCCTCCTGCTTCTGCCTCCCAGAGTTCTGGGACTAAAGCAGCTACCTCTACTCGTGGAAGACTTTTCTCGCTTACCGCTTTGGTGTCTGCAGCCTGTTTTTCTCGAATCACCAATCACTTTAGAGGGATTTGAGTTTGTACATGTTAGCATCTTTAGCACTGCCGATTCTGCTTAACACTCAATATTCCTGCTTCAAGATCTAGTCTCTGCGGTTACATTCTACTGTCTGTGATGACGAGGGCTTGTGTCAGTATCTCAGCCATTCTTTAAAAACCTCATTTTCGCTTTTCCCTCTTTTTAAGGACAATTTATTCACATCTTTACTGTATTACTGTTGCCTCCCTCACTGGTTTCTCCTTTAGAGCAAAGCTGAGTATCTTCTCTGTGCCTGCAACTTTACAGTGGGACCTGAAGTGACGTCCGTGATGCTTCTGCAGCTTACAGCTGGGGCCTCCAACCTTTTCCAGGGAACGCAGGCTGGAGGCGTGGACAGCGGGGTCCCCGTCCGGCTGCAGAGGACCGGGCGGCACCCTGCTCAGCGATCTCAGCCATGGGACTCTGCATTGTGTGTCCCGTCCTGGCTGTGCCCTTGGGAGCCGGGCTGTAGATTCCTCGAGGGAGGGCTGCAGAATTAACTGGAGGACCTCAAAGTGTGCCTCTCCATTCATTAACTTCTTCCCTGCAGAGCTTTTCTTAGCAAATTTGGGGAATGGTAAGAAAATCGGATACAGCCAGATGGCACTTAGCTGTGCTTTACTCTGGGTAAAGCAAAGTGGGCAAAATCCCAACTATGATTCAAACCCCTTTCAGGGATCCTGAATACAGAGATCCACAAATACAGTTTTGACTGCTTTCTAGAATGAAAATTATGTCTTTTTCTCATGGGAAATTCACACAAAAACCTTACTGGGAAGAATCTACTAAAACGGCACTTCAATTATGCTTTCCCGTCACAGAATGACAAACCGAGGGCGGCCTCTCACCGTCCGGGTCTTCGGCAGGCTGGATGCTCATGTAGGGCTCCCCTTTCTCCATGCGCGACTGTCTCTGGCGGCTCTCTTCCTCTAGAGCGGCTTCTGCACGGCTTTTCGCATTGATGTAGGCGAGGTAGGCGGGGGAATTATGATAGGCCTTCATGGACTCATTGTACTCTATCTGAAACCAAGGGGCGCCGCAGAGTCAGCCGGTGCAGGGCACGGTGCGCCTGGCTGCTCACCTGAGCACAAGGGCGCCGGAGCTGGGAGGACAGCGGTCACCGCGGCAGGGCCAGAGTGCGACAGCCGAAGGCAGCCCTAGGCTCACATTGACTCACTCCACACCCAGGCCGTGCCACCTGCGCCCCACCCTACCTTTTCTGCTTCGTATTCGTTTAAATATTCTTGCTTTTCTTCATCGGTGAGATCTCGCCACATGCCACCAATGATCTTGCCAATCTCCCACAACTTTAGGTCAGGGTTGGAAGCCTTTACTTGGTCCCAGACCTTAAAAGGAAACAGGCGAAGCTTCAACACGGATGGTGACCACGCAGACATTTACAAATACTAACATTAACACTTCTCAACAGAAACAGAAGTAGAGAGGATAGCATCAAATTCCTCCTCGGATGGCCTCAGTGCTTGGCAACCACTTTCGCATTATCAGACTTTGGGTGAGACAGCATCTCTCTGTGTTGTTCAGCCTGGCCCAGAACGCCTGGGCTCAAGGGATCCTCCTGCCTCAGCCTCCCCAGTGGCTGGGACTGTGTGCACAAGGCACTGAGCCCACTCGGCAGATTACTGAGAGGCAGACCTCAGAGGTCTGGTCACTTCCCTCAGATACTCTATTGTGATTGCCCAGGACGGCTCCAGCCATGCAGACACTTGAGACAAAGTAGCTCAGTAGCCAGTCTACATCTTTACGAGCAAGCACAGGGGACCCGGGGCTGGACGGACAGTGTAACGTAACATAAAGTATCAGCACACCATGGAATGCCGGTCCTTTTAATAAAGACCCTGGTATATTTTTAAGTGTAATGTAGATTCCTCACCAAAAACATTGGGAAAATTCAAGGAAATGTAAAGAAATAAGAACTCCTATAAGCTTACTGCTTACAGGTCTCTATCCTTTTCCAGGCTTTTCCCAACTAACATGCAGCCGCTGCTATTATTTTTATCAGCAGAGAGTGGCTGTGCCCCTCGGTCACTCCGTCTCCTGCACGGCGCAGCGAGCTCCCGTGATGGACATGGAGCGTCCGTCTCAAGGCTGAGCTTCCCTGGATCACCTTCTCTTACTGGACGTGAGCTCCGGGCTGTGAACGAAGCTCCTCTGCGAGGACACCTCGGTGTCCCTGCCCGAACGAGCCCCGCGAGGCAGCGGCACCCCGCACCCCGCCCGGGTGCCTACCTTTCTGCTGTACCTCATGTAGGGCATCAGCGGCTTATCTGGAGGCTTTGGGGGTTTTGGAATCGTAATACCAGAGGATGCCTACAAAAGAGTTAAATACACTCATTATTCCACTGCAAGGAGTTCAGTGGCAGCCTGAAAAAAAAAAGAGTCCCTTAAACAATTCTAATGCGTCTTTCTTCTACTCGTCCATAGGAACAAGACTCTTACATTTTCTCCACGGAAAATGGCTATCACTGCAAATTCAGAAATGTTCACATCAAAGGGAAAGGACTTTCAGCACGGAACTTAAGGGTTTGCCTGGCAGTTTACTGCCACTGCCCTGAGCACAACCCGGCTGGAAAAACAGATGCAGGATTACGTGATCACTCACACACCGGAGATACAGGCTGGCGCGGGCGCCTCCCCCAGGACGCCCCTGCGTGAGCCCCACTGCGCTGCGCATACAGTCAACACTTGATTATCTGCAGCGGACGCTGCCGCCCGCGCTCCGCACTCACGCCGCTGCGCACCCCGGACACAGCGAACCCACGGGAGGTCTGCGCATCCCAGGGCTCTGCCTGTCCGTGTCCTTACGGGGGCCTCGACCCTTCCGCGGGAGCGAGGCCCAGGGACTCGGCAGCAGGCAGGGCCCGGAAGCCCCAACCCAGTACACGTGTTTGGTTTGAGAAATACGAACAAGTTAAGAGGGGATGCACAGGGGAGACAAGACAGGAAAGGAGGGGAGGAGGCAGCTGAAAAGGTAAAGAAAGCGACTGAGAAAATAAACAGAGGGAGTAAGACAGGTGAAAGCTCAATTCCTGGGAGGTGGGGATTTAGCTCAGTGGTTCTGGAGCCTGACTCGCAAGCGCAAGGACCTGAGTTCCATCCCCGGTACCAAACAACAAAACTCTCCCCTCAATTCCTGGTCTGGCTGAGGTCTCAGGGCCGCAGCCCTACAGCTAACTCCTCGGCTTCCCCTAAGCTCGCACGGCCACACTTCAGGAGGGACCCACGGCCAGAAAAGCTAATGAATCTCCCCTGCATGCTGGACCCCTAATTCACGGATCGGGACGAGCGGGGCGGTCGCTGCCCCTCCCTGCCCCTCTTTCCTCTGGAGCAGGCGGGCAGTGCTTCCCTTCAGGGGCCCTCCCGCAGGCCTGTGCCCGCCCCGCCTTTCGGCCACAGCGTGGAACGGTCACCCCGTCTGGCCCCGGTGACGTCCTGGCTTCACAGCCCTGGGAGAGCGGTTCCAACTCCGCGGCCCCATGGCGTGCGCCACGGAAGGTGGCCGACCACTGTCAACTGCTTCTAAAAAATGAAGGGGTAAAGAATTCTAAAATGTTTTAGACTTTAGCTGTGAATGAAAGCACTTTAAAATGAAATACAGCCCTAGTTTCTGGTTGGTGCCCTTTTCAAAGACTCTCAGTTTATAGCACGAGTGGGCTTGCCTATTTCCCCTCCTTTCTCCAGAGAGGCACACCAATCACCACACACTGAGGTCCTACTTTCATGACAACGGCTATTAACAACTGCAAGAAAAGAAAACAAAACCCTCCCCAAATATCCACCATAAAAAGTTCAATTGCAGCTGGCTTGAGGGGGATGTAGGTTTATGTAACGTCTCAGACAGGCAACTTTCAGTAACGTCCTTACCCTAATGACAACGACAATGCCAAGTGCTCGGCACAGGCCACCTAACCCCTTCCCGGGCCCTGGGGACAATCACCGCCTGGCCGCAGCCTCCATGGAAACCGCCGGTGCTCTGGCTCTCGGCAAGGCCCTCAGCCCCACCCGCTTCCAGGAAGCCCACTTTCATCAGGCCTCTCCCTCTTTCCGACTTTCCGCTTCCAATTTGCAACGACTTGAGGAGAAACACTGACACCTGCTGGAGCCGTTCCTTAGGTGGAAGGCCTGGGAAGCGCGCAAAGTCCTACTCAGGGCTCTGTGTGTTTTCCCAATCTTAGCTCTTTAGCTGTAAGGTCTTATGTTAGGGTTTTCCTCTGAGATAGAATTTTCACTATAGTAGGGAAATGGGCCATTTTCCACACCTAGCCTCAACCACACTGCACACTTGGACCTAAGAGAACTTTGATCCTCACTGAGTCAAGAACGACCGGGACGGAACTTGCGACACAGTTGTCACACGCAGTCCAAAACGTGTCACCTAGCTACGACACCAAGTTTTTATTTTTCTGAAAGCCCTCGGGGAACCCCATGTTCTGGGTGGTCCACGGGAAGCTCCCACTTAGGGCAGAAAACAACAGCAAATGGGATTGCACTCACCCCCGCATAATGCGTAACTGGGTTCATCTTAAGAGGCAGAATCAGAACTGAGCAATCCCAACACAGCTTAAGTTAGACACTTACAGAAGACAGAGAGAACTCCTACATTTCCTAGACCCTCAGCATAGCAGTTTTGATCATACTTCAAGCTGGAGTTAACAGGATAATAATACAACGAAAACATCCACAAAGAATCACAACACAAAATGTCCCGTGGCACAACTCTCCCATGCTAATCTACTCACTCCAAGGGCTGGGTTCGTATGTTCTCCAGAAAGGACAGGAAGGGGAAAAGGAGAAGGGGAACTGGTCTGGGAACTTCCTTCTTCCTAGGTCTCCACTGAACCCCAGTTAAAAAGAAAACGCTCACACGCTCTCTCTCACACACACACACACCAAAGCCAAGTTATTCCTGGAGCATAGTTTCTATTCCCATCCCATTAACACAGATAATCAAGAGCTGACTGTATAGAGCTATTAAACATAATCATTCTCATTGAGTGCCCATGAAAAAATAAATGCATTAACACGGATGATCCGAAATTGATTCTGCTCATTGTTTGGACTGCAGTGTTCTCTACTGTTTGATAACCTGGCCACCCACCGCGCTTGTGAGACACCACATTTAGGCCCGGGTGAAACAGGTTCGGACACACATGGAAGGTGTATGCAGGGGAAATGCATACCTCAACACGCTTTGGCAGGGTCTTTTCTCAGATACCATGAAATACGCATGGCACATAAAACTCGATATGCTTATGAAGTACAAATTATGCAGAACAATGAAAAATTTAGACAAACAAAATCTATCGAGCTAAGCGATATGCTTACCAAGATAGACATACAGTCTGATAGTCACGAGCTTCAGCTGGACTTACTACAGGGTGAGAGGGTTTTCTGAAGTTACATTAACTGAAGGCACTTACTTATTATTTATGAACACAGGAAACAAAAACCAGGTGTTTAAAAAGCCTACAGCCATTCTGGGTTGCATATATTTTCACCAATACCACGTTCCAGTGTTGGTAGGTATTTGACTTTTGGATTTATTTTCATTTGTTACCTAAACTTCTGTAAAGGGAGCTTGAGATAATTCTAAAATAAAAAACTTTGAAGCGTACCATCCAATTCTGGTCATCTTAGATTGGCCCCTTAAAGGAAACACGCTAAGTTTTGAAAATCACATCCCTCGTAGTAAGGCTTGGAAATGTACTTCCGGTTGTACATATCTAGTCTGACACTTCACATTGATCTCATTCAATTTTTATCCTGTAATTCTTTGAAGTGACATTAAAGTCTTTTCTCTCTTTTCAACGGGGGAGAAATGAGTCACAGAAGGTGAACTGTTAAATCCAAAAGACAAATCACTATGTGTAGCAATTCAGACTGGCAGGTTGGCCAAAAGCTTTCCAGCCCTGAAAAAGCCAGCTCTGAAAGCCCAGTCCTTACTGCGAACAGCATCCTTGTGACTAATGCCAATTACCTTAGGAAAAATGAAAGATACTCTTCATTTCAAAAACGATTATTTAAACCACAGCGAAATTCTCAGCTTGTCCATTACATAGAGCATAAGCATTAGGTGCCCAGTTCCATCCCTGCCAACCACCAAACAGAATGGACTTTTCTTGTGCACACATATCCAAATCTTTTTTTTTTTTTTTTGTCTAAGATCATACAATGGATGTTTAAAATATCTGAAAAGCCAGGTTTAAATTCTTTTTTTAAAATGGCTGTGCTTATGATCCAAAAGGACCTAATTCTGGAGGCGTTTCTGGTCAATCCCAGTGGTTTGCCGGAGGCTGTAATAGTTGATTCTCCTACCGTGACCCGGCTGTTGGTGCCCGGGTTCCCTCCCAGCCTGTAGTTGTTGTAGGCGAGATGACTGTATGGATTGTATCCCACAAACCCTGGTGTGCTGGGCATTTGCTGATGGAAACAAATGAGACAAAAACACGAATGAGAAATGAGCTCAAACGAGGAAAACACAGAAATGAAAAATGATCTGCATATGGCATGCAAAAGCAACCTGAATTTAAACAAGCAATGATGTGTTGTTAATTGTTTTTTCTTTCTTCATTGAGGAAATTAAATTTTTCTTTCATTTGAGAAATCGGTCTGCAAGTGGTTTTCTTTCTTTTTGCAGGGGCTGGGGGTATCTGTGAGAATGTGAATGTGTGTGGCTTGTTACACACTGACGTGTTTAGACATTTTGGGTTACTTTACGGTCAGGAGTATGACAATAACTCAGTGACATGTGACGTCTGAGATAGGGAAATTCAAGTGTAACACGCTACAAGTCTGAAAACACTACATGCAGAACAAAACATGATTTATTTGACAGCTGTGTGGATGCCACCAACGTATTCATCCAGTAAAAACAAAAACAAGAAATGGATCTGCTCTTCAGAGACGGTTCTAAGTCATTTCATATAAAGTGACAAATGAGAAAGACTCAAATCAGGAAGCTAGGAGTTATCAGTAGGAAGGAACGTACGTCGGAGTCAATGGATGTCACATACATGATTTCAAAACGAAGACTTGTAAGAAATGCATGGATTTCATTCTGGGGCACTGATCTTTTAAACCCAGTCATTCTTTTATACGCTTTCTCTTCCATCTCTTCTTTGATCCATCTTCCATAGGTCAATCTCGGAAATTTCTGTGCTTGGTCTTAATGAGAACTACTTTTCTGGCTGACAAGACTTGCACTTGGCTTTTTTCATCTAGTTTCCTGAAAGCTCTCACCCTTTCAAAACACGACTGCTTGTTGCAGCAACAGAATTCTTGGTTTTTCTTGGAATTTTATGTTGATATAATCACAAATGGGCTCTTACAAAACAGTGGCCCTGTAGTTAATATGACATCCAGTGTTCATGAAAATCAGGGCATAATGCATAAAAAGAATACAGCAGAGAGACCAAAAGTAGGCTAAGTTTACCTAATGGAATGCAGTCAAAACAAGTGGCAGCAATTTCATTTACATGCAATTAACAGTCCTGAATTGTATATACATTTAATACATCCCAATTAAGCTTGAGTTTGTTACAAAATAAACAGTTTTCCAAAACATGCCACTATATGTGTGTGTGTGTGTGTGTGTGTGTGTGTGTGTATGCGTGCGCATGTGTGTGTATATATACACACACACACGCGGACGCATACACACATTTCCCTATGTATCTTAGGGTCCGAAAGACATTTCAAGCAGCTAGCACATTTGATACTTTTTAGGAGAAAAAAAGTACTCATCAATTTTTAGCCTATAGAGTAGAGGACGCAAAGTAAGCATATTTAAGTAGGCAAGACACAGATGAAGTATCAGAGGCACAAAAGAAGCGTATGTTACTTGGACTGGTACAGCTGAGTGGCACAGGAGAGTGGTGACGATGGTGGTGGTAGAAGTAATGGAACAAAAAGAAAAAAAGGAAGGAGAGCGATTCACTTAGCACCTGTTCTAATTCCTAGTCTTCTCTATTTTGTGCGTCAGTGTGAAATCATGATGATACAGAAATGTGAGTAAAAAAGGCAAAAATTCCTTTTTAATAAGGGAAGTCAGAAGGGGATCCGTGGCTCTGCAAAGGTTTTAAGCTCAGAAATGGCAAGTTTGTCCTTCAGACGTTATGCACTCTCAGGGGCAATACTGCCACCAGAGTAACACCTCCAAATACAACGAGAGTCACTGTTCCATGTGAGGCAACCATGCGAGAAAAACAGGGAGCTAGAGAAATGGAAACGGAAACATTCTGACGCCATTTCCATGCTGGATGAAGGACAGAGCTAGCTCTCGGAACCTCCACGGGTACAGTCACTAGGGGTGCCGTGGGGATGGTGCTGAGAAATGTTGTGACTTAGGGGAGCAAACAAACCAAGCACAGGACTTTAAGGTCTGCCGGAATTAATTTTAGAGAGTGTGTCATAGGAATTGAACTGAGAACATATTATACAGTGTCTCATTTTAAAAGTATCTCATTAAGGAAAAACAAAGTATTGATCAATGGAACTCAAACGTATCTGAGGGTTAGTAAATAAGACTTGTTATCTAGTGGAGAAGACAAAGTTGAACAAGGACCTACTCAGTAGTATAAAGTAGACTAACCTGAAATTTAGGTGGCAGGGGTAGGGAAGGAAGAGCTAACAGCTGTTAAAGAACTGACTTTGTAGGACATGGTCAGGTTAAGTTTTTAAAAATGAAGCAAAACAAAAAAAATCCCCCACAAAAACCATTAAGGAAGTCATTTCAGCAAGGTCTGAACTGTTACTGTTAAATCTGATTATTGGGTCGGACAATTATTTTACACGCTGATCAAGTAGGGCCAGAGCTTGCTGGGTGAAAAAACAAATTCACGACTGAAACTGAAACTCGTGGAAATGTCATCAACTCATGAACCAGTAAAATATAATTTATGGGCTGGAATAAAATCCAGTAGCAAGATCTGACCCACGGATACTGAAATCTTTACTTAAACAGCTCGAAAATAAAGATTTACAATAACTGCAGTTACAGAACAAGAAGCTTTATTGCTTGATTTAATATGCAAGTTTCATATACAGACAAAAAAAGGAATGGAAAATATAACCAGTTGAAGGTTAGGTTTAAAAAAAAAAAAAAAAAAAAAAAAAAAAAAAA